ATTTTGTTTTTCCCCATTTTCCACCAGCAGGGGGACTGTCTGATATTTCAGACAGTCCCCCTGCTGGCAGATCCATAGCCAGCTATAGGGGGCCATTTGATCGCTCTTTGAGAGCGATCACATGGCCCTGGGGGCCTCATTTGCCGGAGGAGGGCTGCCTGGCAGCCCTCCAGAAGAGCATCGCGGCGGAGGTAAGTACCGCCGATCCTCTGGGGCTGAAAGCCTTTACGGCGTTCTATGCCGCCGCAACGGCTTTAAAGCCCTTTAAAGCCGCGACGGCATAGAACGCCGTAACGGCGTTAAGGGGTTAAGTAAGATTATGGAAAGAGAGGTACATGTGTGGTGGGATATAGCCGCACTAGACTTTTATGTTAGCATTAATATTATTCCTAGAGGTCTAAGACCATTTAAAAGACTGGCATATAAACGCCACGATCCCACTATGCTTAAAAAGTGGGACCAACTATTAGACAAAGGTTCTCTGTTGCTTATGGTATTGCTGATTAATGAAAAGAAGAAAGACTAGATCAAGAAATCTCACAATTAAAGGCTCACATTCGCCCTCTAGTGGAGAGTGGTGAATATGTGGGACTCCTAGAGAAAATGGAAAGGAGGTTAAAAGACTTAGAAGAAAGTATTAGGGAGACTAAAAGAAAGAAAATCTTAAGAGATCAAGCAGACTATAAGGTGTAAACTCAAAGAAATTGGAAGAAGGAAAGTAGACCACACTATCAGTCTCCAATGCAACATAGTTGCAGACCAAGACCAAGACCACAACCATATAAGACGTATAGAGACGGTCTTATCTCTCACCAATCCCCCGAAAGAGTGTATCCACAAAATCACATATACACCAGATCAACATACCAAAGAGGATATGAAAACATGAATGGTAGTTACCATAAAAGGGAATATACAGAGAACTATGGAACATACCAAATACCAAGATGGAAGGAGATACCAAAACAACCCAACATTAATATACAAGAAGGATATTGACTCCAGAGACATCACGTAATTCAAAGTACCACCACATCTCTAGAACAAATAAGAATTTGTCAGGATAAACAACCTCTACTGACTCCATATGTATCTATTGAGACTTCCCAGCAGAATACCAATAGAGAGAATGATTTTTTAGAAAAGAGGGGAAGTTCAAAGAAAAAGAACTCTAAAAGACATAGAGGAAGGAGGAAGGAATAGAACAAACAGAAGACTCGACAACACAGAAAAGGAAGAAATAAATATTTTTCATTTATCCAGTAGGATTTTAAATACAGATGAATTATCACTTTTACAGAAAGGTTTGAAATTTGCACCTACCTCAAAAAAAAATAAAAAAATTCTAATTTTAACGCTTTTATTGATTTGCACAAGTTCATACGGAAAGTATGTGTGAAATTTTTTTTTTTATGGATAAAGATTTTATAATAAAAGAGGGAGTACAAGAGTATGTACACACTGAACTACATGCAAGATCCACTTTTTATCCCCAGCACGTAAAGAATGATGTTATAAGGACATTTGAGAAAATGGTAGAAGACTTTAGGACTAAGTTAACCTACAAAATAAAGGATAATTTAAACAAAAAAAGAAAGGAAATCCCTAAAAGAATTTATGAAATTGGATGACATCACCATCAAGCCAGCAGATAAGGGAGGTGGGGTGGTCGTCCTAGATACTAAAGACTATGAAGAAGAGAATCTGAGGTTACTAGGAGACACCTCCACCTACCAACTATTGGAGAAGGACCCAACTCCCCAATATATGGACAAACTTAAAGGGCTGTTAGGACATGGAAAAGAAAGGGGGATCATTATTGAAAGAGAATTCAAATACATGTATACAAGATTCCCGAGGGTACCGGTGTTTTATCATCTACCCAAAATACACACGAAACTACAGAAACCACCCGGGAGGCCAATAATTTCTGGCATTGGGTCCCTCACCGCCAACATGTCAGAATACGTTGACCACTACCTACAAGGTTTAGTTGGTTGTCTCAAATGATACTTAAAGGATTCTACCCAAATTTTAAACTTGCTTTCCGATTTTATATGGGAAGAAGATATGTTTTTAGTCACAGCCGATGTTACTTCGCTTTACACTATCATCGAACACTTACAAGGCTGTGAAGCTATCCAATACTCTTTGGCAGTATATTCTGAATTGAAAAACGATCAAATAGACTTTTTAGTACAATGTATAGCTTTTATTTTAACGCATAACCATTTTTGGTCGGAAGGACGTTTTTATCTACAGACAGAAGGTAACGCCATGGGGACACGTTTTGCGTCAAGCTATGCCAACTTATTTATGGGCAAGTGAGAAGATGCATTTATATCGGACCACTGCCCATTTGACGCAAAACTGTTCCTATGGCGGAGATATATTGATGATTTTTTTTTTTTTATATGGAAAGGTGATCTAGAGTCCCTAGAAGAATTCAAACTATACTTCAACAACAACCCGTATCATCTTAATTTTACTTTTTCACAATCAAAAGAACAGATCAAATTTTTAGACCTCAACATATACATAGAAGAAAAAGAGTTACACACTAAGACCTTCAAAAAAAAAGTGTTGATTGCAACAGTTTTAGCCCTTTCAACAGCCACCATAGACCTGTATGGTTAAAAAAAAAAAAAAAAAACATCACTCAAAAATCAATTCAGAAGAATTAGAAGAAACTGCTCAAAGTCCGAAACTTGTAGAGAACAGATGGAAGAGATAAAGAGATTTATTACAAAAGGATACCCTATAACACTCTTGGGAGAAGCCTTGGAGAAAACCCTCACCATCCCACGAGAAGACACCTTACGCAATAAAACCAAGCCAACTCAGCCATCCAGTAACACTCCAGCTTTCATCACAAAATATAGTAACCAGTCCAAGACCATACAGAAAATACTTAGAAAACATTGGGGAGTGTTAAGGAGTGATCCAACTTTAGCACAACTGATTGAGGAGAAACCACAGATTATTTTTACAAGGGCACCTAATCTCAAGTTAATGGTAGCCCCCACTATCAGATCCGAGAGGACTGTAGAACAAGGAAATATGAGAGGCTTCACAAGATGTCAAAAGTGTGTAGGATGTAAAAATAATCCTACGACAGAAATCAAAAGCACAAAATTCATATCATTCAATGATCTGAAGGAATACAAGATAAGAACAAATATGAATTGCAACACTTCGGAAGTCATATATCTTATCACATGCCCATGCCAGAAACAATATGTTGGACGAACTAAAAGACCCCTAAAAATTAGAATTTCGGAACACATTCAAAACATTAAGGGACTAATGGCTCATAATCTATCGAAACATTTTGAAAGAGACACATGGAGGAGATCCAGCAGGATTAAAATTTCTATCTATAGAAAAAGTGAATGTACATTGGAGGGGTGGAAGTATAGACACCAACTGTGAGGAACTGACTCTGCTGGGTTTCGAACCCTGGTTTACATGGTGCTAAACCTCTTCCTTACCTGTACACCAGCCTGCCTTTTGCAAATTTACCTAAGATCTGATACCATTGCTTGTAGAGGCAAGATTATCATTGACAACTCTCTTCAGCGGTGTCTGGTCAGGTGTCTGGTTCTTGGCCTATAAAAGCCACTTCCTGTCTCTGTACCTTTGCCAGATTATTGTGGTTCCTGTACTCTCTAATCAAGTGTGTTCCTGTTTCTCCTTCCTGTTGCTGAATTTGGACTGTTTTGACTTTGCTGCTTCTCCTTCCCACTGACCTTGGCTTGCCTCACTGCGATTATCATCTTTCTGTTCCAGTCTCCCATCTCTGCTTAAGACCAGAAGGCCACTCAAGGCTCTTTTTTTCCTTTAAAAACTTTTAAGTGTATTGGAATAGAGAGCGTTTTACCCCATTGGAGAGGAGGGAATAGGGTCCAACGACTGTCCCAAAGGATCCATAAGTTGCGTACTCTGTAACCATGGGGACTGAATGTTGACATAGACTTGATTTGTTTTAATCTAACTCTAGGTCATATGGCCGTTTTTCCCATCTCAATCCAACTTGTCTGATGTAAATACTTATTTCTTGGATTTTGCTTTAAATTTAAATAAGAATCAGGTTTCCCCTTACCACAAATTATTTTCATATAGATTATGGTAGGTTAAAAAAAATAAAAATAAAAAACCCTATCTAATCATAAAAACATTTTTGGTGAAAGACACTTTGAAATAGAAACTTTGAAATATTATTATGTGTCTTTTTGAAAAAAAATGGATATATGTGGCTATATTTTATGTTTATTTGTATATGCTTATAAGATTTTAACTGACTGCTGTCAGTATAAAAAAGAACATCCAATAATTAGATACATAGTTTAAAGGACATATTTCAGAATGATGTATTATCAGCTGAGACTACACCATTAATCATCCTCAACCAGGAACAGGTGAAAAGGATCTGGGAACCACCAATAGGAAGAATGTAGGGGAAGACACCCACTGGAATCACCAATGAACTAAAAGGGACTAGCCTTATTTAAGGGGACTGATGGGAGGGTGGATTTAGGCTGCTTTTTTTGGGAGCATCATTGATGTAATGGTTTTTATTGTATATTGGTCTCTGAGGAAGTCCCATAAGAGGACGAAACACGTAAGACCAAATTTTCTTACTATCAATAAACTCTTTTCTACTCATCTACCTGTCAGAGTCCTGCATGGTTCCTGATATTGGGTGATACCTGATCCTAAGAGGGAGATATAAGCCGCCCCCCCCCCCCCAATACCAGGGAAGGCACCATTAGAGCGCAAAGAACTTAAGCATCCTGTGAGTGCAATCTTTAGCAAGGATTATTTCCATCAACTGTTCTATGCTATGTTCTTTTTTTTTTTTTTAAATCATATTTTAGGTTTAGTAGCTGTATACCACATGTATTATATGATTTTATAAAAAGGTATAGGCGTGATATAGTCCTAGAACAAATACTTGCAAGTCACATCCTGCATAATCTATTACTTTAACAAAGATAGATTCATGAGATCGTAATAGCTGTGAGGTCCATTTCTAGAACCAGTTGCTGCCTGCAGATTTTGAATGGAGTGATTCCTTTGACAAAGTCATTGAGTCCAGCATGTAGCCTCTCCTCTATGTACACAAAGCAGACAATACTGCCCCCAGTGGGCAATTTCTTCACAGCCTCCTTTAACTGGTATAGTATATGAATTTTGGCAAAAGACAGGTCAGTTCCAAATAAGTCTATATCCAGGCGGTGCTTCCCTTCACCTAAGGGCACTGGAAACATAGGGGATCCAAGGCTGAGGAAGCCTAAAAAACCTTTGGATGATGCAGGAGTAGTAAAAGCAATGAGGTCATCTTTGCTTGCAGATTGTTTCGTTTTTCTTATACCATTATTGACATCAGAGCTACCTTGCAATTTAGAGGATCTAGTGACTTCCCCTAATGCATCAAATGGGTATGAGCAGAGCCACTGGACCTTCCAGCGCTGCATTAGATCAAGATTGGCTTTATTGGTGGTAATTGGCAGCCAGGATTGCATGAGGAAGCCTCCAGGAAGAAGATCCTCTTCTTTAAGACATCCAGGAAACAAATTGTGCACCTCAGAATATTGAAGGAAGACAGGAGGAATGCAATGATCACATGTAGCGGATACTCGAGATTCCAAAATCTTGACTGCCTCCTCCAACTGCTCAGCAGAAATAACAGCCTGCAGGAGACAAATGAGAAATCAGGGCAAGAAGGACACCTTGAAAATAGCAATGAGACCAGAAATAATTTTTGTTAGATATCCATCTCAGGTAACTCCCTGAAAAAAGGAGCAAAGTGGCTTCATAAAACGTTCCTAGGGAAACCGAATAAACATAGGCATTTTCAATTATTACGTTTTAAATGGTGTGCTACACATGGTGGATATTGTAGTATGGCTCGACTAGTGACCTTCTCCTGTCTACTGCTCTAATACTTACTGCTAACTCGAACTTGCAAGACTTCGTTTGGGCAGCTCCACTCCTTTGAAACAACTTGCTAGTGCCTAACCCCATCAGACTCTCGCCTATTCTTCAAAATAGAACACTTGAACAGCAGTTTTATCTGTTTGCTAACAGAGTATAATCATTACGTGGGGGAACTAAAATAAAATATTTTTTTTTTTTAAAAAGCCGAATCCCTAGTAAAATCTCTCTAGTTACTGAATTCCTAGGCAAAAAGCTAGTGGTAAGATGAAATCAAATTATAGATACGAGAGGAGAGGAAAGACCACCAGAGAACAGGGGGGGTGGTACAGGAGAGACCACCAGGGAAGGGGGAGAGGAGTGACCACCAGGTTAGTGGGGAGAGGAGAGACCACCAGGGAAGGGGGGGTGGGAGAGGAGAGACCACCAGGGAAGAGGGTGGAGTGTCCACCTAGGGACAGGTGAGGGGGGAGAACTCTAACAGAAGGGGGACAGGGGGGAGTGAAGAGGAGAGACCACTAAGGAAAGGGGAGGGAGGAGAGGAGAGACCACTAAGGGACGGGGGGGGGGAGAGATCACTAAGGGACGGGGGAGATCACTAATGGATAGGAAGGTACGATAGATCACTAAGGGACAGGAGGGTAGAAAAGATCACTAAGGGACAGAGGGCAGGGCAGAGAACTAGGGGATGGAACTAAGGGACAGAAGGGGAGATCGCTAAGGACAGGAGGGCAGTAAGTGATCAAGGGGAGAGAACTAAGGGACAGGGGAGAGTGAAAGATCATTAAGGGTTGGGGGAGTGTAAGACACACAGAGGCTGAGGAAGGGGTGAAAGAGAAACACAGAGAGGGACCTGGGGGTGGGAGGGGAAAGACACAGAGAGGGGCCTGGGAGTAAAAGAGACAAAAAAACAAAAAACAAAACAAACAAAGGGGTTGGGGGGAGATAGACACGCAAAGGGGTTGGGAGGATGTAGGAGACATACAAAGCGATAGTACTGCATTTCCAGTTATATGCCTGTTATTCCAGAGATCCTATTTCAAGACATCACCCAATACAGGAGACCGCTATATGGCAGGTATTGTTTATTTCTGTAAGGGACGTTATACCTTTTCTGTTCAATGCTATGTAGGTTATACTATATCAGCCAAAGTTATCCATCTCCTGCTTATCAGTAACAAGATCCTGTGATTTAGAGATCTGATACATTTTTACTACAGACATTTGCTATTCACATCTACAGTATGTTATTATATGGACTGTTATTTGCTACCAATTGATGCAATTTTTTTTGGCTATCAACCATTGTACCAATAATATCGACATTGCTTGTGGACTTTAGTATATAACTTTATTTTATTTGATTTTTTCTCCATCCTTTATCAAAATATATTTATATTTCACTAGTTCACTGTTTAGTTACTTTGCCCATCTGAGCAGCACTTTTCCTGTAATTCCCTCCTTTAATATATACTAATTGTATTTTTTGTAGCGGACGTCTCAAATTTCTACAATATATATATATATATACATACACATACACATACACATACATATATATATATATATATATATATATATATATATATATATATATATATATACACACACACACACACACACACACACACACACACACACACACACACACACACACACTCCAAGAAGACTTTTGTAGTGCCCGGTGCTGAAGTAGTAAAATTTGGCTTTTATTTATTCCATATAATATATCAATGTTTCAGCTCCAACATGGAACTTTTATCAGGACAGGTAACATGTAACAAATGTGCAGACAAGAGAATATATACCCCAGATCCCTCCAAAACAAACTAAACAAATTAAATATGCACCACTGGAGTGTATTTACTGAATCAGTGTCCATGGCTGACTCCCACTCTGCCCTTGTATCTGCATAATTGGGGCTCTAAGTGTATTTTAAATATTTTATTTTAGTAATTATATATGAATATTAAAATACACTTGGAATAATAGTTTTATGTATGTGCATATAAAAGTACGTAGAGATATATAATGATCTAAGTACTTTTATTAAGTTTATAAAATGTTTTAAAGCTTTATTTTAACTTGAAAACGTTTTTAAAGGCTTTAGGGGAGAGCCGGAGAGCTCAGGCAGTCCCCCTGAAGGCACTGCATAAGCAGGTGATCGGCTGTGAAGGTTATATTGATTGTTGTCTGCCTGTGTTTATCAGTGCCTCCAAACTCTAATATACTCACCTGCTTATTTAAATTTTTTCCTAAAATCACTCCTCACCCAGTTATTCCCTGCTATAGTCTGCACTATAGCCAATCGACAGTTTAGTTGATCTCTCCCCTTTACAAATGTTCTTATCTCCAATCTGATTTCATCTTACCACTAGATTTTTGCAAAGGAATTCAGTAACTATAGAGAGATTCTACCCACCTAATGTTTATACGTTAGCAAACAGACAAAACTGCTGTCCAATAGATTTGAGCGGACACCTGGATGTTCGGGTCCGGCGGGTTCAGCCAAACTATGGAAAAAAAAAAGTCCGGGTTCGGGCTCAAACTTGACCCCGAATCCCATTGAAGTCAATGGGGACCTAAACTTTTGGCCACAAAAATCCCTCTTTAAAAAAACTCCTTGAAAGTGCTAGAGAGCTGCAAAAGCAAGTAAAATGGGGGTAAGAGTAGGACAAGTGCCCTGCAAACAAATGAGGATAGGGAAATCACTTAAAATAACATAAAAATTAAAAATACAGCAGAGCCATACATTACTTCAAAGCCTTTGGAATCATGGTTTTAACTGTGTCTTAATCTTCAATAAAGAGGTGTGCTATCTTCCTGGTGCCAGGATGCATTTGTGCCTTTTTGATATTGTCCATGGTCAGCAGTCAGATAAGTGGATCTTTCAACCAAAGAGCACTTAACAATGGTCGCCCCTTCATAGAAAAAGGTAATCCAGTAGATGTACTGAAAATAGTTATTTACTTATATGTGTACACTACAAGATAATACATATGAAATAAAAATTAGAAAAAAAAAAAAACAAAAACAGATGACAGTTGTTTAAAATGTTCCTGCCTTCTTTTCACATGATGAGGTTTTTGTTTAGCAGTGTTGATACAGTGATTATTATTAAATATGATCAGCATGGGAGAAGATTCTGAAAATGTAAAAAAAAAATACAAATACAGAAGAAGTGACATAGAAGCTTATCTTTTGTAAGAAGAAAAATAAATATATACAAATCCTGAGCAAACCCGGGGGGTTTGAGAGTGCAACTAAAACATGCACAATAAAAAGGTGAAAGAAAAAACTATGTTCTAGACCAGGGATAGGCAACCTACGGCACTCCAGGTGTCTTTGCACGGCACTCAAGGCTGCTAGAACCACACGCACTCTGGCCTATCAGGAGTCCCAGTGAAACTTCAGATATCTGCTAATCCGAAAAGGTGGTGAAGGACAATCCTCAATTTATGCATTGCAGCACGTAGAGGAAGTGATCTCAGAGCACTTCATTCCAGCACTTGTGAATCGGAATCTACACAGTAGTAGAGCAGCTCGCAGTTGCTGTTGCAGCTCCTGTCCTTGACCTGTACCTGGCCAGCCTGGTCCCCACTGGAAGCCAGGAAAGTCACCCACACTGCTAAATATACACAGAGCTGCAGAATAACCCTCCCTTCATACAAAAATATTATAAACAGCCCACACACAAACATACACACAATCCGCAACACCACTAACAATCCACATACACAACCCCACATGCAGCCTCTCACATGCAATACCCCAATAAGCCCCCACACACTACCAGACACACAATGTGACATATACACACACAGCTTACATTCATATGTATCATACACAATACCATAAACTACTCATGAACATATACAATATAATAGCTCATATACGCAGGGCCGTCTTTAACACAGGGTAAATGGGGCAGCTAAAACGTAAGCCCCACTGGCCTCAACTATTTCTCACCCCCTGGCCGGTAATCTGCACACTAAGGAGGCCCACCGGCTGACCCATGCACAAAGGGCCACCTGGTGGGCTTCTGTCAGCAGGGGTCTGGTCGCGCGCTGAGGCGCTTTAACAGTGCGAACGGGCCCCTTGCTTTTCGGCAGCAGGCTGGGAGGAAGGGACGGCCGTGCATCACTTCCTCCCACAAACAGAGGAGCGCACGGGAATGAAGAGTAAGCAGAGTGGAGGGGGGCTGGCCAAGAGAGCCAGATCCCACCTCCCAACACCTCAGGCAAGGTAGGAAACTGGAGGGTGGGGTTTAAAGTGTACATTTGGTGTGTGTTAGTATTCTTGTGTGTGTGTGTCAGCATGTCTGTGTGAGAGTGTGTTAGTATGTCTGTGTGTGTAAGCATGTCTGTGTGTGTCAGCGTTGGGGTGGAGGACGTGATTGCACACCTGGGGAGGGGGGACAGGGGACCCCAATAAATGCTTTACCCAGGGTCCAGTCAGTATTAAAGACAGCCTTGCATATACAACGATACAAAGCAATTACAGTAAAAATAACACAAGCAGAATACGGCAGCATATGCACCTCAATTTAAAAAAAATAGGACATCACAATCTTATATCGGCACAGTGCTGCTAAAAGGTTGCCTACCCTTGTTCTAGACCCTTATAGCAGCAAGGCCATGGTGTCCAAGCATAGGAGTCTAATACTGTACATACTTACAACTTGTGCTCATTTTACATCTACAGGAATACCTGATGACTGGAACATTTTCGATTAATATTTTGTTTAGATTATCGATATTGCCATTAGTATCCTGTTTGCACTTGTGGTATTTGTGTAATTGTATTTCAGAGAGAACAACAAAAGATGTAGCATATGAAGGAAAAGCTAGAGAAAAAGGTTAGAGAGAAATAATGGTTTAGATGCAGTGAGTTTACCTTGGAGTGTATAATTTGGTACGTATTCAACATGGTGGCAGGTGGGTTTTGTACCATAGTCAGACGAACTCTGATGACATTGGGATGGTCCGAACGTAAGGTTTTAAAGCAAAACCTTTGGAGTATCCCAGCCACTCCACAACCTCTCATCCAATCGGCAACACGAAGACCCTGCACGACAGCTGTAATACCTCCATCAACCAATAAGAAGGAGTCAAAACCCACCTAACAAAAGAGAGACCATAATCATGTCAAGAAAGTTTCTCCTTTCGAAATCACAAACAAAATTATGCTAAGTCACTAATGCATCACTTCCATTGATTTGATAACCAGTAAGTGCAATCAGGAGTCTTTCATTAATGTATTTCCTTAAAGGAACATTACTATAGCTAAATAAAGCAGTTTTAGTGTATAGATCATTCCCCTGCAATTTCACTGCTCAATTCACTGTCATTTAGGAGTTAAATCACTTTGTTTCTGTTTATGCAGCCCTAGCCACACCTCCCCTGGCTATGATTGTCAGAGCCTGCATGAAAAAAAAAACTAGTTTCACTTTCAAACAGATGTAATTTACCTTAAATAATTGTATCTCAATCTCTAAATTGAACTTTAATCACATACAGGAGGCTCTTGCAGGGTCTAGCAAGCTATTAAGATAGGAGGGGATAAGAAAATCTTAATTAAACAGAACTTGCAATAAAGAAAGCCTAAATAGGGCTCTCTCTACAGGAAGTGTTTATTGAAGGCTGTGCAAGTCACATGCAGGGAGGTGTGACTAGGGTTCATAAACAAAGGAATTTAACTCCTAAATGGCAGAGGATTGAGCAGTGAGGCTGCAGGGGCATGGTCTATACACCAAAACTGATTCATTAAGCTAAAAGTTGTTCAGGTGACTATAGTGTCCCTTTAAACTTACCACTTTGCCCTCTGATTTGGCAACGAACATCCTCCTCTGAGGGTCCTTCAGCCATGTGTGGTATTTGTATGGCAAGTAATCCACCCCCATGTGGAGCCCCTCTGAGATTGCCATGACCCCTTCATAATCTCCAGCAGTTGCAGGAAAGATCTGTACATCAGGGGTTAAAGGAGAAGACATGATAAGAGAGAAACTTCATCAGCTTGCTTTATACTGCTGAAAACACTGAAACAGTGTCTATAATATGAAGAGAGAGTTCAAAACTGCAAACCTCCCCCGTAGTCTCAAATGCTCCTTATACTCTGACTAAACTTATCCAGACACATCGCTCCTGAGTTAGCCAAATCCCATTCATAATCTCCAGCAGTGGCCAGAAGGATCTGTATATCAGGGGCTAAAAGAGAAGACAACGATGATCAGATTGATACAGCTGAAAACACTTAAATAACGATATGAGGAGAAAGTCCAGAATTTGTCCTCACCTCCATATACTCAGGGCCGGACTGGGAATAAAAAGCAGCCCTGGACATTTTTTACACCAGCCCTAACATTAATTGTGCCAACTGTGACCAATATGCAGGTGGAAAAACACAAAATATTGAAAATTATTTACCCAACGTTTCATCCCCAAAACTTGAATAGTCCAATAATGAGAATGAAAAATTTACTATTTGCTGCTGCATGTCTGATTTCAATTAACCTTATTTTGTTTAGTTCTCAATCCTATGAGTGCACTCTGCATTGGATATAGTTTGATACCAAGGAATGAAATACTGAGAGAAGGGCAGGGTTATCCACTAAACTAATAATTTTTGTGAATACATTCCAAATATTAGGCTATAATATTCCAGCTGTCACTATGGCCAATTTGGATTTTTCAAATCTGCTATTTTGGTCTAAATTACGAAGTTTGAATTTTCACTTCTGAAAATGAGAAATTTAGTGAATAACCCTTTGACAAATGTAAAACCCTTGTTACATTTATTTAGGTGTGTAATTTCCAAATGTGTATTTATTAACGTATGTGTATCATACTGATGTTTGTGTATATATATTATAAATATAATCATTTATAAGTATGCGTGTGTGTGTATATATACACACACCTCCCCCCCACCCCCCTTGATACGTTTGCTTGGAATCTAGGAATTTAAGAGCCAGAGAATTCAACATCAAAAATAAAATTCTTAAAGGGACACTATAGTCACCAGAACCACTACAATTTAATGTAGTTGTTCTGAAGTCCACATCCTGTCCCTGAACGCTTTTAAATGAAAACAGGGTTTATATTGTTGCCTGGTGACATCTCTAGCGACAGCCTCACTCAGACGGCCTCTAGAAGAGCTTCCTGGGTCAGTGCTTCACACTGTGCAGCACCTACGTTAATGTTCCGTATACTGATGCATTGATTCAGTGCATCTCTATGAGAAGTTAAATTGGCACAGTGGCATTTTGCCGTGCATGCGCAATAATCTCTCAATACTTTCCTTTGGGGAAGCATTGGATTGGCTGAGATCGTCAAGATTTAGGATTTCAGCCATGAAGGTGGGGCAAGCCATGGCGTGGGGAAAAAAGTTGAGTAAAAAAACCTTTCCCATTTGATTGGAGGAAACACACACACTCACTGACCAACACAGACATACACTCAGACTCACTCACAGACAGACACAGAGACTGACACTCCGACAGACACACACACACACACTATCTCTCTCTCACCTTTTTATTTAAATACACCCAGCCTCCCTACCTTTAGAGAGACCTTATTAGCCAGAACAGCAGATCTCTCTCCTGACAATCTTGCACCTTTGCCTGCTCAGACTGTACTCATGGTGATAGAGGCGGCTGGTCAGAACACTATGATCACAAGCCTGACACCATCACCTAGATATGGCAGCAATCCAAAAACTTGTTGAAGGTTTTTTCAATCTAATTGAACTTCATTTTGAAACATCCCCCAGGTCCTTTTCTACGGAAGTGACCAAAGTAGGATTTATTATGCACCAACTTACAGACAAGGCTTTGGAATGGGCTAATCTGTTGTGGGAGACAAATAAGGCTTTGGTCTATGATTGCTTGACCTTTGTAAAGGTTTTCTGTAAGGTGTTTGATCCACCTGGCAGAGATAATAGTGCAGGAAGGTCTTTAATGAAAATAAACCCGGGAAATACAACCATAGCAGACTATGCTATTAGTTTCTGTACTCTTGCCTCTGAAGTGGTTTGGACAAATAGTGGATTGGTAACTGCATTGGTGTAAGTGGTTAATGATGGTATATTGGATGACATAGCAGCTAGAGATCTTTTAGTACTTTTGAAGGATCTTATTGATATAGACAATCAGTTAAAGGAAAGGCACCTGCATAAGACAAGAGTAAGATGTCCTTCTGTGGCCAATACCCCTATGGTCTCAGTACCAGACATCTCGTCTGCATCATATTCTGAGCCCATGCAATTAGGGGCTACTAAACTGTCTGAGGCAGAAAAACAATATAGGCAAAAGAGGGGATCTGCCTATATTGAGTGAGGAAAGGGCATTTAAGAATCGATTGTTTGGTGCATCCAGAAAACTGTTGCACCTAAGTTCGCTCAGGGGACTGGCCTTGCATGTGACATTGTAATCTCCTTTTTTGCCTATAAGGGATTACTTCTCCCTATTAGCTTGTCTTGTGGAGAAAAACATATAGACACTCTAGCGCTCATAGATTCTGGAGCAGTTGATAATGTCATGTTTTTATCAAAACCCATTTAACCCCACTATGAGAGAAGGAGACACCCTTGGCTGTTGACCTTTATATTCATCTCTGATTACTCATGGGATAGAACAGTTGTGGATGTGTTAGGATTTGTAACACAATGAGAGTTTATGTTTTCAGGTTATCCCCTCGTCCTCATCTCCAGTAGTATTGGTTTATCCTTGGTTATGTCTGAACAACCCCACTATTAACTGGAGACTGAGAAAAATAATCTCATGGAGTGATATGTCAGTAGAGGTGTTTAAACAAGGTCACACCATTGCATCTTATCAATGTTCCTACTGCTCCACTGCTGTCTATAGACATACCTACCTGTTACCGGCTCCATAAAGCAGTATTTAATAAGAGGGGTCAGATAAATAAGCACCTCACAGATCTTATTATTGTTCCATAGATCCCCTGCCATGTACCACACCACCCAAGGGTAGGGGTTCTCCTTTGTCTTCACAGTAGAGCTTTATTATGAAGGAATACATTAAAGAATCCTTGGACACCAATGGCTTCTTTTTTGTTTCTAAGAAAGAGTCAGATCTATAACCTTGCATAGACTACAGAGAATTGTATAGAATCACTGTTAAGAATGCATACCCTATTACCCTAATCACAGAGCTATTTGATGGGGTAAAGGGGGCTTCTGTCTTCACTAACTTACATGAGATAGGTGCATATAATCTTGTTTGCATTAAGGAAGGGCATTAATGGAAAACCACATTCAACACCCGAAGCTGACATTATGAATGTATCATCATGCCTTTTCGGTCTCTGTATTTCTTCTGTGGTTTTTCAGGAGTTTATTAATGACGTCCTCAAGGATTACAAACATTCCTTTTACCTGACTGTGTACTTGGACAACATTTTAATTTACTCTTCTGATCTAAGTACACATCATTCACATGTCTCTAAGGTCTTACAAACATTTATCAACAATTGAGAGTACTGTAAATTGGAAAAGTGTTTGACCAATCAGAAGTACATTTTTAGTGTTACATTATTTTGGCCTCTGGATTCAGTATGAACCCAAAGAAATTGTGTGGTGTTAAGGAATAGCCACTTCCTTGAGGATTGAAACCTATACAAAGGTTCATAGGGTTCTCAAACTACTATAGAAGGTTTAGAAAGAACTTGTCATGAGTGCAAACCTGCAGGGCATCCCGGTATAACAAAGACCACTAACCTTGACTTCTAGTGACCTTCCCAGAGGGGCACATAAAGAAATATGTGCAAGCTTGAGATACTTGTGCTGCTAAAGAATGTTCACAGCAGGGACGGTGTGTCCCATGGCTCCAGGCGGCACTTTGACAGCAGAAGCATTTTGTCGCGCCTGCATAACTCCATACTGTGTATCTATCACCCTACTCCTGTAAGCGCCGCTGAATATGCTACCCCTCACCCATCCCCTCATGATCAAAGGTGTGATTTCTATGAGGTCAGCTTCAGTTAGGTAGAGGGGGCGCTCTCAGCAGGTTTACTGCAGGCCTGGGGTGCCCTCACGTGAGCACATACAGGCAGGGTTTGAGTAAGAGGAGTGCTGCCATCCAGGTAGGATTTGGACAGCCCATGGCTTCTGAAGATCAGGACACCACTAGGGAGCAACTTCCAGGAGCTGCCTTCCTCTGCCCTGTGCCTGGAAGATGAACTACACTACTGCCCTGTACCTGGAAAAGGTAGTGTTTGTAATGGGCTCCCTTCATTGCTTCCAGTCCCATGTATGTAAGGGAGGAGAAAGAGCTGCTTGTTTTGTGTTTGTTTAAGTATGTATGTATTATATAGTGTGTGCGTGTATATATATTAGGCATTGTGTGTGTGTCTATGTTGTACATGTTTATGTATTATGCCGTGTGTGTGTGTCTGTGAATGAGACAGTGTGTGTGTATGCATTAGGCAGTTTGTGTGTGTGTTACCAAAAAATAATGAAAAAAAACGTTTTTCACAATATAAGTGATCTCTCAGAGGTCCATCCAGCCATTTATATTAATAAAGGGATAACCTGTGGCAAACCCTGCCACTTGGACTAATTATTCTGTGTGAATAGGTGTATTTCACCAAGGGAATAACCACACGAATTGACTTTCATGGTATTGTAATGTTTTTATTCGAATGTCTGAAACTACCGAACGGGAGAACACCCCGGGGTGGTCGTGTGTTTCCCATTAACAGAGTGATACATTGTTGCGAAGGGAACTCAAACCGGGCATTCGACTAACCAAGCACCGCTAAGACCTACAGCATGCTCCGACAATACGAATTTAACACACGAACGCCCCGGCGTTCGGTAGATAGATTCCCCTAAACGAGAGGAATCATACGAATGGTAGCAATCGCATGGATGGCTAACCATTCAGTATTTGTGGTTCACTGAAATAGACCAACCACAGGGCCAGAATTCATGGAACTGTTTTCGGCTACTGAGTCCCTGCGGTCGGTCAAATCTTTAACAGTCTGTAACTCCCGAACCCCTGGTCCGATCTGGGTGAATTTCAAGTATGTTGCTCACCCAGATCAGACCTACCAGGGGACCCCTTATTTGTCCCTGTACCCCATGTATTTAGGGGACATCCAGAAAGTGGGGAAAACTCTGTCCCCACTAATCTGTTTAACTGTTAATCTAAGGGGAGGAGAGTGAGGGGAGGTGACCGGGTTACAATTGGTTACTGTACAAATTATGGAAGTTACCTCCCTTGCATGGGAAAAATGCATAAAAGCAGACCTGTGAATAAAGCTATCAGTTGACTCCCAGACTATGTGTCGTCTAGTCCTTGGGGAGGTGGATAATGCTGTGTTCCTGTGACTTTGTATGCTGAATCTTTGTTCCCAGCGGAGAGCCCTTGGATTAACCCCTGCTCCTCCGCTACATAACCCTTCTAACATTAAGTCATGATAGCACTTTCACAAAGCTATATTCATCAGTAGATATATCTGGTCTATCTTAGAGATAGTGGTAAGACGGTGGGGGCCGGGGGGAGGACAATAGCCCCCCCTTATTATTATTTATGGCCCCCATCCGCCGCTCAGGGGTGGGGGCCTTCGGTAGGACAATAGGTCCTCCCATACTCATTTAGGGCCCCCACCCACCACTCAGGGGTGGGGTCGGGAGGAAAGGACAATAGGTCCCCCCTTATTGCTATTTAGGGCCCCTCCGAGCCGCTCAGGGGTGGGGGCCGGGATGAGGACATTGTTTTTATGGCCCCCACCTGCCGCTCATTGGTGAGGGCCAGGGGGGAGGACAATAGGTCCCACCCCATACTCATTTAGGGCCCCCACCTGCCACTAAGGGGGCACAAATCATGCAAGCAAAATAATAAAAAATATCATCAATATATAGATGGAAGGGATCTAGCATTTTATTTGAAACATTTTTAATACATTGAATACAAATGATTGGGGAATTTTTTTAACTAAAACTACTTTAGATTTAAATATTTATATCTTAGACAATAATATAATGACTCGAAGTTTCTTCAAACATGTAGATGTAAACAGTTACATTGAAGAAAATAGCTGCCATCATCAACCTTGGTTGTCCAATATCCCTAAGGGATAGTTCCTTGGAATGCGGAGGAACGGTTCAAACCTTCAAGAGCTTTTCTCCCAGTCATGCACTTTAAAAGAACAATTTATAGAGAAGGGATATGATAATGGAATATTGGACAATCAGATTAAAGAAATTGCACTTTTAGACAGATCCCCCCCTTTTGGAGTATGATGCTCTCCTTTTGGAGAGCATAATGTGGTACATATTTATCATGGTGGCAAGTAGGTTTTCTTGAACTCTGGTGACATTGGGATGAACTGAAGATAAGGTTTTAAAGCACAACCTTTGGAGTATCCCAGCCACACCACAACCTCTCATCTAATGGGCAACACGAAGGCCCTGCAAAACAGCTGTAACACCACCATCAACCAATAAGAAGGAGTCAAAACCCACCTAAAAACTGTTATGTGAGACAAACAAGGCTTTGGTCTATGATTACCAGACCTTTTTAAAGGCTTTCTGTAAAAACTCTTACTTTGACAGTGGTGGGTATGCCAGCAAACTACCCACAACTAGGCAAGTCTATTAAAACATAAAATGCCACAGACACACAGTCACTTCCGGGTTTTGCCGATTCCTGATCACATGAGTTTTGTGGATCCTCCTCTCTATGACGTCCTCCATTACGTGTTTCACCTGTCTTCTGGTGCTTCTTACAAAGTTGTCATGATCTCCAATTAGTTGAAACTTTGGATTCTGTATGTTTAGAAGATGGTTATCCTCTAACAAGAGTGATGGGATTAAGCCCTTAATGGCATTGCTTTATTTGCACACCTCTTTGCATTTGTGCAATTTACTTTGTATATTTTGTATGTGTAATAAATATACTTACTACACTATTATTAGTTCTCTTATATTTTCCTACTTTTTTTTATCCAAGTGGACAAATATCAGAGTGGGATTTCTATACCAATGGTAACTTTATTAATGTTATATAAACACAGGGTGTTTCTGGTGCCATTCATTGCACTTAGTAAGTTAGTGTACATCTGTTTTAAAAATTTTATATAGAAACTAAAATTCTGTAGAAGTCTATCAGTACCGTATCTGGAGAGAACATCTCATAAATGTACTATTTATTTATAGCTAAGAGATTTCTCCAAGCTCTCCCAATTTCAACACAGTTGGCTTAACTTAAGGTGATCCTTCTGTTTTATTTAGATTTTGGTTGTCCTTTTGAGTGTCTGTAGTCACAAAATTTGCCCTGACCCACTGTTAGCCATTTAGTGTTTTCACTTTTAATGGTTGTAAGCATGAATGTTGAATGAGATTAGAGATTGCACGAGAATAAAGGCAATGCTAGGGGGCAAGAAGACCAGGGGCTTCAGCCCAAGGGCAGATTTTATGGCCCTTACCACATAAATTGATTTAAAGGAGCACTATAGTGCCAGGAAAACAAACTTGTTTTCCTGGCACTATAGGATCATTAGGTTCCCCCCCCCCCCCACATTCAGGGCCCCCCTCCCGCTGGGTTGAAGGGGTCGAAACCCCTTCAGCCACTTACCTTTCTCCAGCGCCACGCTCCCTCTATGCTGTGGAACTCTCCATGCGTGCATTCAAACAGCCCATATGAAAGCATTACTCAATGCTTTCCTATGGACGTCCAGCTTCTTCTCACTGTGATTTTCTCAGGGAGAATCGAGGAAGCGCCTTCTCTGAAACTGTTATGGGCAAATGCAAATATTACAAGTTTTAGAATGAAATGTTGTATTTTTTAAACTGTGTACTTTGTCTTTAAGAGATATTGCAAACTGACAAGGTGTTAGAAATGGAACATATGGTTTTTCATAACTGTTTCTTTAAGCAATAACCTCAGTGCATAATATGTTTGTGCCATTTTGTCCCAGACGAATTACAATAACAATAATGCATAAACAAGCTTCAAGGCTATGCTACGACTCTTGCAGTACACAATATACTGTGGTAACCCCAAGTTAATGGAACTTCCCCAAATCCTGGAATCTCCCACGACTGTACACTTACGACTTAGTATAAACAACAGATAACCTATTCAGACTTTAAGATGCCATCTTGAACTAAGTCAGAAAAATTTCCATGACATATGCACCCTTTAGTTATGGCCTTGTATGTTTGCCAAATTAAGGGAGGTCCTAAAATGAATAAAGTAAATGAACAACAGTAACCCTAAAATGGAGACACCTAAGGTATAAATAGGTGTACTTTTAAATGTTAAGACACAGAGGAGAGACTTGGAGACAGACGCTGCTCCATCTTAAAATGACAGAGAGGCTGACATGATGACATGCTCAGAAGGGTATGTTAACCTATTAATGATATTTGCAAGCATGTAATTTAATCTTATAAACTCTGCTATAATGGATTTTATATTTTATATAATAAATATCCAAAAAGACAAAACTATTGCTTCCAAGACAATCCTTATTTTATATTGTATTCTCAATTATTTATATATGTTAAATAGAGGATCTCTTACTAACTATATAAAATTATGGCTAAGATATCTGTATGGTTAGCCCTACTAAGTTCTATGCTTTAGGACATTATAGTGGTAAATAAGGGAACCAGCCACGGTTACAAAACTGCTATGTTTCCAGCAGCAGGGTTAAAACTAGAGGGACCTGGCACCCAGACCACTTAAATGAGCTGAAGTGGTCTGGGTACCTATAGTGGTCCTTTAAAGGAACACTATCGTATTAGGAATCGAAATGTGTATTCATAAAGCTATAATGCCCTGTTGACTGTTTAGGTTTCCAGATTTTCACCTGCAAAGAGTAAAAATGGTATTCTACATACCATTTCTTCCTTGAAACACTGGCCTCCTAGCGGAAGCTCTGCCTCCTTGGCTGAGATCATCAAGACTTTCTGGAGGTATGCAGAATGTGAATGCGTCAAATGCTCCACAGCAATAAATTTCACAGTATATAAATGAACCACAGAGTTACAAAGTAATACAACTCACCACACATTACTGTCTATGAAAGTCTACTTTCCATTAAATTGATGGCTAGAGCAAATGTTTAATTTTCTACATAAATTCAATCAAGAACAAAGCATTTTATTTAGACAAATATATCTGTTCAAAGACCCGTCACTGCGATTTCCTCTGAAGATTAAGCTTTGTGACACACTCACAAAATACATTTATGTTAATATTATTGATATGAACCTCTGTTATGGTATCACACCTAGTATGTTTCTGTGTATCTCCGCAGCTATTAAATGTGAAACATGGAGGTGTGCAAGGTTACTTCTTAAACACTAGGAGACATGTATGTGAGGCATGTGAGAAACAGAAAAAAGCAACCTATAGCAGGATAATGATAGGACCTAAAGTTTTATTAGAAAAGGTATAAAAAAATAGTTCGGACCAAACACAATAAAAATCTTAGAGATTTATTGCCATTGATCTGTGTTAAAGATGTATGCAAACTTATTGCTGTGGAACTCTTTTTCTTGCACAAATTACTGTAAATTGTAAAATCTTGAACTTTATAAATGAACAACATTTTGGAATCATGATGGGATGAATGACTTTGTTCCAATGAAAAATTATCATTAATAAAGAGACGCAGCAGGCATGGTTTTATAAGGTATAAGTGTGTCATTGTCCTAGGGCAGATACTAGCATGTCACAGCCTGCATAATCTATTACTTCAACAAGGATAGAATCATGAGATCCTAGCAGCTGTGAGGTCCATTTCTAGCACCAGTTGCTTACTCCAGATTGGGAATGGAGTGAATCCTTCAAAAAAGCCGTTGAGCCCAGCAAGTAGACTCTCCTCTATGTACACAAAGCAGATAATACTGCCCCCAGTGGACAATTTCTTCACAGCCTCCTTTAACTGGTATAGTACATGTATTTTGGCAAAAGACAGGTCAGTTCCAAATAAGTCTATATCCAGGCGGTGCTTCCCTTCCCCTAAGGGCACTGGAAACATAGGGGATCCAAGGCTAAGAAACCCTAAAAAACTTTTGGATGATGCAGGAAAAGTAGAAGCAGTGATGTCATCTTTACTTATAGTTTCATTTGTTTGTTTGATACCATTATTGACATTAAAGCTAACTTTGACATCATGCAATTCGGAGGAGCCAGTGACATCACCTAATGCATCACATGGGTATGAGCAGAACCACTGGACCTTCCAGCGATGCATTAAATCAAGATTGTCTTTATTGGTGGTTATTGGCAGCCAGGCTTGCATGAGGAAGCTTCCAGGAAGAAGATCCTCTTCTTTAAGACTTCCAGGAAACAAATTGTGCACCTCAGAATATTCAAGGAAGACAGGAGGAATGCAATTATCACATGTAGCGGATACTCGAGATTCCAAAATCTTGATTGTCTCCTCCAACTGCTCAGCAGAAATGAATACAGAAATAACAGCCTGGATAAGACATAAATTAGAGATCAGGACGAGTAGGACACCTTGAAAAAAGCAATGAGACCAGGAATAATTCTAGTTTGATATGCATCTCAGGCAACCCTCAGAAAAAAGAAACAAAGGGGCTGTATATGAAAAGTTCCTTGTGATACAGTGTATCCTTAGGTATGTCCAGTTATTAAATGTGCTGATGCATTTTAAATATTGAGCTGCTAAGCATGCGCACAGAATACTCTAAAATTTGGAAAATATATTTAGCATTTAAAAAGCGGCCATGTAGCCAAAAAAAACAAAAAACACACATGATGCAGATATTGCCATACTCCAGGTACACACAGTAGGATATTTTCTGTACTGACATGGACTCTTTCACCTGTGTGAAACATGGAGGTGTGCCAGGTTACTTCTTAAACACTAGTAGACATGTATGTGAGGCATGTGAGAAACAGAAACAAGCAACCTATAGCAGGAAAATGATAAAACATAACGTTTTATTAGAAAAGGTATAAAAAAATAGTTCGGTCCAAACACAATAAAAATAACTTAGATCAGAAGGACTTAAAAATATGTTCATTGTCAACTTATCAATGTGATGCAAGATACAATTGATTACTGTGCAGCAATGTTACAAAATTAAGTAAATGACTAGAGTTGAGCGAACCCGGACTGTAAAGTTCGGGTTTGTACCGAACATTACGTTTTTTTGGACCCCGGACCCAAACACGGACCTATCACTGTATGTTCAGGTTGGAGTTCGGTGTTCAGCGATTTAATGGTGCATTTTGAAAGGCTGCAGGGCAGCCAATCAACAAGCGTTTGACTTGTGTGCCCTTAGAAGCCATCACAGCCATGCCTACTAATGGTATGGCTGTGATTGGCCAGCGCAGCATTTGACCCAGCCTCTATATATAAGCTGGAGTCACGTAGCGCCTCACGTCACAAGAGCTGTTATTAGTGTAGGGAGAGGATGCTGCAGCTGTGAGGGACAGTTTAGGAAAGAATTCTGCAAACTAGTACATTAGTGGGGTGCACTTCATATCTGAGAGTCAAATAGAAGCGTCAAATACTGCTGTCATATTGCAGTTTTAAAACTTAAAATTTTTTGGGTGCTAAAAAGTACATTAGTCAAATACTGCGGTTACAGCACAATTGTAAACATTCTTATTTTGTGGGTGCTAATCTGCTAAATAGTAAATTTGGGGCGTGCTCTTCATATCTGAGAGTCAAATAGAAGCGTCAAATAATGCGGTTACAGAGCAATTGTAAACATTCTTATTTTCTGGGTGCTAATCTGCTAAATAGTAAATTTGGGGCGTGCTCTTCATATCTGAGAGTAATATAGAAGCGTCAAATACTGCGGTTACAGCGCAGTTGTAAAAATTCTAATTGTTTTTGTGCTAAACTGCTAAATAGTAAATTTGGGGCATGCTCTTCATATCTGAGAGTCAAATAGAACCATCAAATATTGTGCTTACATTGCAGTTGTAAAAATTCTTTAGGTGCTAAAAATTCAATTTGATGCTTGCACTTCATATCTGAGAGTCAAATAGAAGTGTCAAATACTGTGTTTATAGCACACTTTGACAATTTCCCATTGTTTTGCTCCTAAGAAGTACATTTGGGGCGTGCTCTTCATGACTGCTGACCCAATAGTCCCAACCAACAACCCGTTGCCCCCCAATAATTGGCGAAATCTCGTAGCCGCTCTGGGCCTAGCTGGTTTGATGCACATCCCTTGCCTGGTCGCATGTGCTGAATTTGGTGGTGCAGAAATTCCTGAAAAACTACCCAGATATATCAGAGCTGCTGCAGAAAGTGCAGCCATCTGTGCGCGCTTTCGGGGTTCTCACCCTGCTGCTGCTCGCCTGTCTGCGCTGCAGCGTAACTTCGGCCTTCCCGCTCACCACCTCATGAGACTGTGCAAGCAGCAGCAGGCGATAGTGGAGTTTCAGCTGCAGCACGCATGGGTCAGTCGCTCTTTTTATATGTCCCAATATTTTGGGGGCTACCCCAATTAAAATAAATATATATTAAAAAAAACAGTGTTGGCTACCTTCTCCTCCTCCACCGCTGCTTCCACCTACACCGCTATGGTCACCGCCTCCTCAACCTATGGGTCACTTAGTATAAACTATGTACACAATAGCAGAGGCTTGTGAAGGCCTTTTCTCCATTCATCAGGAGTTGAGCTCAGTTTGAACAATGAGAGAGAATACCCTGCACTCCAACCCTCTCTCAAATGGATAATTCTGGCAATCCTCCATGCTTTAGATTTTGATTTATGTTCTTCCAAAGCTAAAATCAAAGATTCCATCTAGTGCTATTTTATGGCTCAGCTGTATTTTTTATTTTTATGTTATTTTAAGTGATTTCTCTATCCACATTTGTTTGTGTCAGGGTCTTACCTGAGTTGGGAGTCTGTAGCGCAGATATGATGCTCACCCTTGCAGATAGCCACAGGCCGAGGTGGTCAGGTAAGAATTCACCTGGCCTGTGGGTCTGTGCACGGGGGCTGTGCAGGATGCAGTACCAATACGCAGGACAGGCAAGGACTGAACCAGCAGGATGGTCGAGGGATAGCCGAGGTCAAAGGATGCCAGAGGACAGGAACAACGAGGAGTAGCCGAAGTCAAGGGATGCCAGAAGTCAGAATAAACGAGTCAGGAAGCCGGGGTCAATAATGCGAAGCGATGAAACAGGAACACTAGAACAAACAGGATCAAAGACTTGACACTGAGCACAGGGCGAGGCTGGGTTTATATACCCTGCTGATGACTGATCAGAGTCAGGTGAAACACAGCCAAGTCAAGGTGCAGCCCCCAGAGTAGTAGCCATGTCAGGATGAACAGGACTGGAATCAGTCTTCACTGTAAATAGCTGCTGTGGCTCAGAGGTAGAAAGCAGGACCAGGACTGAGAAGATCCCCGGTTCAAGTCCCCTGTTGGGAACTCCAAGAGCGACCACGTCTTGCCGTCTGTCTATCAGGTGAGAACCGTGACAGTTTGCACTTGTCCTACTCTTACCCCCATTTTACTTCCTTTTGCAGCCCTCTAGCCCTTTCCTTACAGCTGAATCCTCGCTATGTTTGTATACTTTTTATTTAAACTTGTATACAGTGTAACATTCTTCATTCTTCCACTGGGTAGGTATATTAGTACTTCGGCAATACTGTGCTTCATAACTTCGGCACTTCGGCACTTCGACACTTCAGAACTTCGGCATTTCGGAGCTTTGGCACTTCGGAACTTCGACACTTTGGAAATTCGGCAATTTCAGAACTTCAGGACTTTGGCAATTCGGTACTTCGGATGTATCCGAATGTCCAAATTGCCTTAAATTCGTCCGAATTTAAATTCTGAAGGAAACGAATTGCACATGTCTAAAATTCGGGACTTCAGCACTTCGGCTCGGTTTGGCACTTCCCTAAATTCAGGACTTCGGCAAGTCGGGACTTCTGCACAGCACATTCGGAACTTCGGCAATTCCCTAACCCCTACCTCTACCTCTAACCCTGCCCCTTACCCTACCCCAACCCCTAACCCTTACCTAACCCTACCTCTACCCATACCTCTAACCCCTACTCCTAACCCTTCCCCTACCCCTAATCCTACCCTAAACCTAACCCTACCCCAATCCCTAACCCTACCCCAATCCCTAACCCTACCCCAACCCCTAACCCTACCCCCTAACCCTCCCCCTAATCCTACCCCTATAATAATAATAAGAAGAAGTCAAATAACACCCCAATCAATTTATCCCAGAATGTGCTTTTGTGGGCACCTAAGCTATGATCCTAATCAAGACCTGTGGTTTCCATGGCCCACCAACACACCAACAATCTAGGATTTATGTATTTCTCTTTTTATTTGAATGGAGATACTAACAAAACCTGTACTGTTGGTGAGCCATAAGGACTGGTTTGGGAATGACTGATCTAGACAATACTATTCTGTATTGGGCTCTGTTGCTGAAAGATATTGAAAGCCCTGAGCAATATCGAGAGGTTTGATATTTCTAGTACTAAAGAGTACTAAAACATGAACAAAAAATGTGAAATAAATAAATGTGTTTTCTAGACCACCCCGTATGGCAGCAGGGCTGTGGTGTTTAGGCATAGGAGTCATAAATTGTTCATACACACATCTCATGCTCGATGCTGCCATCGTTTTATATCTCCTGATGACACCTGATGACTGGAACACTTCATGAATATTTTGTTTAGAATATATATCTATATTGCCTTTAATCTCCTGTTTGCACTTCCGGTATTTGTACAGTTATATTTCAGAGTGGTCAACAAAGATGAACACCTAAAAATATGTAGCATTTGAAAGAAAAGAGAGAAAAAAATGTTAGAGAGATAATGGATTAGATGCAGTGAGTTTACCTTGGAATGTATAATGTGGTATGTATTCAACATGGTGGCAGGTGGGTTTTCTACCATAGTCAGACGAACTCTGATGACAGTGGGATGGTCTGAACGTAAGGTTTGAAAGCAAAACCTTTGAAGTATCCCAGCCACTCCACAACCTCTCATCCAATCGGCAACACGAAGTCCCTGCACGACAGCTGTAACACCACCATCAACCAATAAGAAGGAGTCAAATCCCACCTAAAAATAGAGACCACAATCATGTCAAGAAAGTTTCTCCTTTCGAAATCACAAAAAATAAAATGCATGTTACATTGCAAATCAATCCCTTCTATTGATTTGATATCCAGTAAATTCATTCCGGTGTCTTTAATTAATGTAATCCCTCACACTCACCACTTTGCCCTCTGATTTGGCAACGAACATCCTCCTCTGAGGGTCCTTCAGCCATGTGTGGTATCGGTATGGCAAGTAATCCACCCCCATGTAGATCCCTTCTGAGATTGCCATGACCCCTTCATAATCTCCAGCAGTGGCCAGAAAGATCTGTACATCAGGGGTTAAAAGAGAAGACATGATACGAAGAGAACCTCTATCAGCTTGCTTTATACCGCTGAAAACACTGAAACAATGTCTAAAATATGAGGACAGAGTCCAAAACTGAAAACCTCCCCCTTGGCCTGAAATGCTCTGCAAGCAACTCCTCCTTATACTCTGAACTCATACAGACCCATCCCCAATGAAATTGCCAAGATCCGTTCATTATCTCAAGCAGTGGCAGGAAGCATCTGTATATCAGAGGTTAAAATAGAAGATATGATAAGAATATCATTAATACAGCTGTATTAATGTATTAATATCATTAATACAGCTGAAAGCACTGAAATATCAAGAGGACAAAGTCCAGAGTTGAAAATCTCCCCATAGCCCCCTGAATCCTCTTATTCATCCTAATACACAGGTATCCGGATTTATATCTTTCATCATCTCAACCTAATACAGAGAACTCAGAAAAAATACCTCTCACCTACTAATGCACAGACACCGGGAAACATCCCTCCCACCTTCTACTAGTACACACACTCAGCGATCCATCCCTCTCACCCAGGGCTCGAGTCCTGTAGGAACGTAGCATTAAGGCACTTTTTCAACAGCAGGAATGTTGTTTCTGATGGTACAAAAGTCTCTTTAATGGGCCGTTGGTGAGATCAAAGATCTCCCTAACTGACCCAGCAAACTTTCATGTTGTGCAGGGTGGAGACCCGGCAAGGCTGCACCTCCTGCAGACTCCAGCTCTTGCAGTGTCTGAGCATTACCATTGTGGCAAATATCCATATAGTTATGTAACACTAAAGTGCAAACCAGTATAATCCAATCTGACGTCTGATAATAGAAGGGTTAACGAGCAAATCTGTATGCTCAGCAGTATAATTGCTTAGCAATACAATGATTATGTAACAAAACTTTCACTTTTTGTGACTAATGCTTTCTAGGCCAGGAGACGTATGAGGAGTTTTCCCAATGTGAGGAGTTACCCTCCTTCTTATTAGAAGAGTCTTCTTTCCTTTTAGGAGAACAGACAAAGTATGGTGCATGCTAAGCCTTTCTGGTTTCTTTTTTATCCTCTTTCACAGATATCATGTATATATTAATATTTTAATGTGTATGCACTCATAATCAGGTTTGACTGCTTCAACTCTATTGCAATAAAGACTTAATTCTATACTTCCACAACTCTGGCCTCTGACTGGTTAATTGGAAAAGGCTTTAAAGAGGCTATTTGGCTAACATCCTGGTAACCCATGGCAATAAATAAGTGCCCTGCAGAGAGAAAGAGGTGCACGGCAGGAATAGACCAAGTTTCACCCAGTGGACAGACAGCTGACTGGACCACCAGATACCTGAATGTCTCCCATCCCTCCTGCCTAACAACTCTCTCTCTATATATATATTTATATATATATATATATTTCCTAACTCTTTTATTTCATAGTTAGAAATGTTTGCCTGCTGATTTTATCATTGTTAATAACTTTTCCTCTTGCTACATCTGTATAGCTCACAGTTACTCTGATCAGCCACAACATTAAAACCATCTGGGGGCCGGAGTCTAGCCCCAGAGCAGAGCAGACATGTGGTGCCTGAGCTCCCAAATCCTGGGATGATTTTGGGCTATTTACCCCAGTTATTAAGCAGCTACATCTCATCCCAGCTACCTCATAAGCTGGGGGAACACTTCTGTGCACATCGACATCTTCTGTGCACATAGACATCTCACTCGAAGTGGCATATAGCCGGAGACCAGAGGCGCCCTGCTGCGGCCTACTATAGACGAAACTCGGGAGAGGTGGCCTTTCTCACTGGACTCCTGTCCTGTAACCTGTCGAGGCTGCTCCCCTCCCCCCTAGACTGGCGGGGGTTACCCGGTCCCCACTGGGCTAATTGGTACCCCTCATCCTGCACTACCTTGCAGCACACCACAGGGATCTGCACATACGGACAAGGCCTGAGCCCACCTCGTGAGCCTCCCCATAACCAAGCAGCAAGCATCCTGTTTCACCTAGATGAAATATTTCTGAACTTCTGGGAAAGGATTCAGGCACATCACCGAGTACAACTGAGATCCAACACGCAGAATGTAGATATGAGGTAACGTATACCGGACCTTAGAATGGCTGGACTAACGTATAAGCACAAGGGTTGTCAAAGTCAAGCCGAGGTCAAGGAGTACAGAAATCAGGATAAGCTAGTAAGCCAAAGTTGTGTCAAGGAGTATAGCAAACAGAATAGTCACAAACAAATCCAAGGTCAAAAGCTAGAATATAAATCACTGAATACAGAGTAGCACTATTGGGACCAAAATTGAACCACAAGAGGGCAAGGAACCTAACTCATGAAATCCCTGTTATAAATAATTCGGACGTTTTGGCGGCATGTGATGTCATTTGCGTCATGACGTCGACGCCCAATTTTCTGCATCATAAAAAGGGGTGGAGCTATCGCGGCAGGCCAGGGACATGTCTTACACGAGGCAAACAAGGCAAAGTGCCTTGGGCCGCACTTTGCAGGGGGGCGGCAAAAAAAGCCACCCCGAAACATCCAGGCAGATCCCTTGCTTGCCTTGTGTCCTGGGGGGCTCAAGAGCTGGCCGGCTCACCACTTTTGAGCCCCCCCCTGGTTGACTGCAGGCAGTGGGCAGCGAGGGAGAATACTCACCTGAGCTCTTCCTGCTCAGCTCCCTCCGCGCCGATTTAATGAAGCCAGGAGCCGGAATATGACGTCACTCCGGCTGCCAGCATCACTAAGCGGCGTGTGAGGGAGCTGAGCGGGAAGATTAAAGCCCGCCCAGCAGCCCTACTGGACAGGTAAGTAATCCACTTCAGCTCTCCCAGGGAGGCTGGGTGTATTTAAAATAAAATTTAAAAAATAATAATTTGTGAGTGTTGGGAGAAATGTGTGTGTCTGTAAGTGTCTATGTGTATGTCTCTGTAAGTGAATGTCTGTGTCTGTAAGTGAATGTGTGTGTGTCTGTAAGTGCGTGTATCTATGTGAGTGAATGTGTGTGTGTGTCGGTCAGTGAGTGCGTGCGTCTGTCAGTGAGTGCATGCGTCTGTCAGTGAGGGTATGCATCTGTCAGTGAGTGTGCATCTGTTAGTGAGTGTGCATCTGTTAGTGTGTGTCCAAGTAATAGTGTGTGTATGTCATTGTTTATCAGTGTATATGAGAGTGTGTGTCTTTCAATGAGTGTATGCGTCTGTCAGTGAGTGAGCGTCTGTCAGTCAAAGTGCGGCATTGACAGGAAGGGGTAGGGAAAATTTAAATTGGGGAGGGTGATTGTGCACCGTCCTGCCTAGGGCAGCACAAATCCTAAATACACCACTGCAGCCGGCACAAAAATGGCTGGAGCAGGAAGGGGAGAGCAGAGGAGGACCTGCAGCAACATGTGAGAGGTGAGTAACCCGGGCAACAAGCCTGGTTAACAGAGAAGTACCCCCTTCCCCAGAACCGCCCATAGGGTGGAAGCACCCAGGACGAAATGGGAAACGGGAATGGATAGAACGGAGAAGACGAGGAGCAGAGATATCAGAACGGTCAACACAAGATCTGTCCTCAGGACCGTAACCTTTCTAACCTTTTTAACTTGTCTATGATGAGTTTCCCTGTCTTTAGAATATATCAGTATATCATGCAGGTAAACTATGACACAGTCTTGAAGAAAATGTCTTAACACGTCATTGATGAAGTTTTGGAAAACAGCCGTGGCATTACATAGCCCGAAAAGCATAACTATATTCATAATGCCCAAAATGGGTGTTGAATGCTGATTTCCATTCATCTCCTTTTCATATTCTCACAAGATTATACGTTCCTCAAAGATCTAGCTTGGTAAAGATCTTGGCTTCCTTGAGCCTATCAAACAAGTCAGCCATTAGAGCTATAGGGTAAGCATTATGTATTGTAATTTTGTTCAATCCTCCATAATCAATACAAGGTCTAAGGTTACCCTCTTTTTTGGACACAAAGAAAAACCCCGCTCCCGCCGGAGAAGACCTTCCTCTAAAACCTTTCCTTAAGTTTTCTGTAATATACTCCTCTAAAACTACATTTTCCTTGGCAGAAAGAGGGTAGACTGTACCTTTAGAAGGCATAGTACCAGTAAGAACATTGATGGCACAGTCATAGTATTGGTGTGGAGGTAACAACTCTGCTTTGACAACTTGTATTCCAGGACACAATATATTTTTCCCAATCTATGATTGGGTTGTGTTTTATCAACCAGGGGAATCCTAATACTACTGGAAAAGACGGAGAAGAGATAAGCTGAAATACACATCTCATAGTGTAATACGTCTGTTATCAACTGCAAGGAAATAGTTTCATGAGAAATCACAGGCACTGACAGTGGTCTACCATCTATGGCCTCAACGGCCAAGGGTGTGTTCCTTAAGCGGGAAGGAATTGATTGTGAGGCAAAGTCTAGATCAATAAAAGTTTCTGCTGCCCCTGAATCAATCAACGCCATAGTCTGTACTCTATTCTTTTCCCAGATTAAGGTGATGGGGATTAGAAGCATGTGATCTTGCTGTTTTTTGAAGGAGGACAAAGCGAAAACACCCAAGGCCTGCCCTCCACTGGAACTTAGGTGCAAAAGTTTTTCCAGCCTATCTGGGAAACGCAGACGGAGGTGTCCTCTTTGTCCGCAGTACATGCATAAACCCTCCCTCCTTCTGTACTGACTTTTTGTTTCTGATAACCTAATTGCATAGGTTCGGGTAAAGCCAAAGCCATTGAATCAGGGGGATTAAAAGCAGAAGGTAAACGGACAGATGTTCTCCTAGGACGGTCTCGGGTATTCTGTCTGAACCGCATGCGTTTGTCAATACGAGATATAAAAGATATCAAATCTTCTAAGTTCTCTGGGAGTTTCCTTGTAGCTATCCAATATTACATCAGACAAACCATTGAGAAACACGTCTACAAATGCTTGGTTGTTCCAAGCTACTTCAGCGGCTAAGGATCTGAACTCTAAGGCATAATCGATCAAAGATCTAGTACCCTGTTTCAGACGAAGTAAG